GTTGTTTCATTAAATTCTTCCGTGTCTGCCAATTCCTTTCGATACACTGATTCAGTATATTCTTTCCATCTTCTTTTGATACTTGCTGGATCATTTAATACTCTGCTTAAAGCATCCTTGATTATAGCAACTTGAGGTTTGAATTTGTTCTTCAGTTCCTTGAGCTTAAGAAATGCTGGGTGAGTTCGACCCTTTTGGTTTTCTGACTCCAGCTCCTTGCACATTTCATTGTAATATTTTACTTTGTCATCCTGCACTGCCTTTTGAAATCTTCTGTTCAGCTCTTTAGTATCTTGAATTCTTTCTTCCTTGTGCTTTGGCCTCTCTGCACTCCAGTGCAATCTACAGGGTTTCTTCTGACATCCATTTTGGTCTTTTCTTCCTCTACTTTTTTTGTAGTGAATGTTTGTACTCTTCTTACATGATACCCTTGATATCCTCCCACAACTCTTCTAGTCTTCACTCATTGGTGTTCAAGGCCTCAAACTTGTTCTTGAGATGGTTCTGAAATTCAGGTGGGATAGACTCAAAGTTATATTTTGGTTACCGTGGATTTGGTTTAATTTTCCTCAGCTTCAGCTTGAACTTGCATCTGAGTAGTTCGTGGTCTGTTCCACAATCGGCTCTGGGCCTAGTTTTCACAGCTGATATTGAGCTTCTCCAGTGGTTCCTTCTGCAGATGTAATCGATCTGATTCCTATGTATATCATCATGTGAGATCCATGTATATTACCTGTCTTTATGTCTCTTAAAAAATGTGTTTGCGATGAATAAAGTTATTGATTGTGCAAAATTCAATCATTCTCTCTCCAGCTCCATTTCTGTCTCTGAGCCCATGTTTTCTGACTACTGATACTTCTTCTCTGTTCCCAACTTTTGCATTCCAGTCACCCATTATTATCAATGCATCTTGATTTCATATTCGCCTGATCTACGACTGTAAAAGTTGGTCAAAATCTTCTATTTCCTCTTCTTTGGCTCTGGTTGTTGGTGCATATATCTGAATGATAGTGGTATTCACTGGACTTCCTTGTATGTGTATGGATATTATCTTGTCACTCACAATATTGTACTTCAAGATGGATCTAGAGATGGCTTTTCTAACTATGAAAGCAAACCCATTTTTCCTCACCTTTTCTCTCCAGACTAGTATATCATATGATCATTTGATTCAAAATGCCCCATGCCAGTCCATCTCATCTCACCAATGCCTAGTATGTCAATATTTGTGCGTTCCATTTCCTCCTTAGCAATATCTAATTTTCCTACATTCATGGTTCTCACATTCCATGTTCTAATCACTAGTGTCTGCTTAAAACTGTTCCTCTTCCTTTGTATTTCCATACTCAGTTGCCCTTCCTGTCATTCTACGTGTGTTCTGTTGTACATAGGATTTTCAGAGACCTGCTATTTTGGAAGTGGATGGTCAATCCTTCTTCCTAGTGTGTGTCAATCCTGAATGTTCAGATTTAGAGAAGTATCCAACAGATAAGCATTTAACAGAAAAATTTAAAAATATATCCCTTATTATGGAATTACTATTAGTTTCGGTGTTGTCCCTGCCCTTGACATAAGTGCCCTGACCCACTTATTTCTTTGCTCCACCATCCGTCAAGATGCCCCTCTACTTCTACCCACTCCCTTCAACATCTATCTCCCATTGTCTAGCCCTTGATCTGATAGCTTATATCTAAAGCTTCCTTGGTTTCTGTGATTCCAGATTCATCAGCTGGTAACAGTTTCTTATGCTGTGACCAGAGTCTCCTAAGTTTAGTGGTAAT